GACAGGAATAGCATTGAATCTATAAAGTGCTTTAGGCAGTATGGCCATTTTAACAATATTGATTCTTCCAAACTACAAACATGAAAACAAAAAAGGGAAGAGCTTTCTGTTCTTATTTCAAACAATTTTTATCAATCTCTTTATGTCTTGATATATTTTTATCAATCTTTTTATTTTGAGCCTATGGGTGTCACTGTATGTGAGATGGGTTCCTTGAAGACAACGTACAGTTGGGTCTTGCTTCTTGATCCAACTTGCCATTCTGTGCCTTTTGAATGTGGCATTTAGCTCATTTACATTTCAGGTGAATATTCATATGTGAAGATTTGATTCTGTCATCATGTTGGTAGTTGGTTGTTATGTGGACTTGATTGTGTAGTATCAATGGTCTATCTACTTATGTGTGTTTTTATGGTGATTGGTAACAGTTTTTTATTTCCATGTTTAACTCTTCCTTAAGGACCTCTGTAAGGCAAGTGTGGTAGTAATGACTTCTCTCAGCATTTGCTTATCTGAAAAGGATTTTATTTCTCCTTTGCTTATGAAGCTTAGTTTGGCTGGATATGAAATTCTTGGTTGAAATTTTTCTTTTAGGATGCTGAATATAGGCCCCAATCTCTTCTAGCTTGTAGGGCTTCTGCTGAAAGTTCTGCCATTAATGTGATGGGTTCTTTTTGTAGGTGGCCCTCCCCTTATCTCTAGCTGCCTTTAATACTTTTTTATTTTGCTTTGACCTTGGAGAATCTGAGGGCTATGTTCTGGGGATGGTCATCTTGTACAGGATTTTGCAGGGCTTCTCTGAATTTGAATGTCGACTTCTCTAGTGAGGATGGGGAAATTTTCATAGGCAGTGCCCTCAAATATGTTCTCCAACTTGCTTGGTCTCTCTCCATCTTTCTCAGGGATGTTAGTGAGTCATAGGTTTGGTCTTTTTCATAATCCTAAATTTCTTGAGGGCTTTGTTCATTCTTTTTTATTCTTTCTTTTTTAGTTTTGTCTGACTGAGTCAATTTGAAGAACCATTTTTGAGCTCTGAGATTTTTTTCCTCAGCTTATGCTGTTCTGCTGCTGATACGTCCAACTGTATTATGAAATTACTGTAATGGGCTTTTCAGCTGTATCAGATCAGCTTGGTTCTTTCTTAAAATGATTATTTTGTCTTTCAGCTCATGTATTGTTTTACTGGATTCTTAGGTTCTTTGTATTGGGTTTTAACTTCCTACTAAATCTCAACAATCTTTATTGTCATCTAGATTCTGAATTCATTTCAGTCTGATTAAGAAGTATTGCTGGGGAGCTCGTGCGGTCATTTGAAAGTGAGAACACACTGTGGCATTTTGAGTTGCCCCAGTTCTCTTGCTGGTTCTTTCTCATCTGTGTGAGTTAATGTTTCTTTAATCTTTGAAGTTGCAATTCTTGGATGGGGCGTTTTGCTTTTATATTCTTTGATGCCTTTGAGGGTTTGACTGTGATGTAAATTGGGTCTAGTCAACTGGTTTCATTTCTGGCTGATTTCAGGAGACCCAGCCTCAGCTCAGCCCTCCTGGGTTGTGTGCTGTAACCTGGTGATACAGGACCAGGCACACAGCTTTGTTCTCTGGCCCCTCAAGGTTAAATACCTGGGGTGCTGAAGGAGCTGAGGTATTCCCAGTCTGTGAACAACAACATTCCAATGAGGGTTGCCAGCAAGACTACTTTGTTGGGACAGTGGCAGTGGGGTCTCTGTTCATATGCCAGTGGCAACAGAGCGGCAGGGTCCATGCTGCATGCTGGCAAAGCAGTGGGGGAAGGCTGCAGGTGTGTGTGTGTGTGTGTGGAGGTTTGTCTTCAGAAGCTCTCTAACAGTTGGGTGGGGTCTGCCAGCAAAGAAGCTATGGTGGTGGCTTTCAGAAAGTGTCCCAATTGGGCATCCAAGGCTGTGCTGCAAGGGGGCACAGCCAGGTATGAGCCTCAGGAAAGGCTGGCAGACAAGGGAGGCACTCAGACTAGAATGGCCCCATTCCATGGGCAAGACAGCTTTGCTCTGTATAGGTCTGACAGTCAACAAAGGCCAAAGTTTACAGGAGCATGGTCAGCCTTCAGGGATGGGTGTCCTTGGCTGTGCTCTACTACAGTCCTTCCTTTGCCAAATCCTTTGAACTCCACACAGTCTGGAGTTCTGTCCCTGCCAACTCTTCAAGCAGCTCTCCCTATCAGTTCAAATATCCATGGGGGTCATGGAGTCTCCCGCAGCTAGAATTATGGAGGTCCATGATGAGAGTGGGCAACTCCACACCTATTTAACTCTCCCTTCCCCAGGAGCTACTTGGGGACAGGAATGAGTCCTGTAACTTATTCTTAAGCCTAGCATTTCAAGCTTCCTCCAACTTCAGCACAGTCTACATCCTCCCTCCATCCACTCTCAATGCCTCCCTTCTGATGATCTGCTTGGAGTGTGCCAATCTTCTTAATAGTCTGGTTTCTCAGTGGGAGAAACTCTTCCTGGCTGTATCTGGTAGCCATCTTTGCTCTTCTCACCTATTTAAAATTCTTGAGCATGAAGAAAGTATAGCAAATATTTGACTGCAGAGGATCACAAAAATATGAAATTATACTATATTGGCCAAAACTACTGGTCATTTCTTTGTTTACAATATTTCCCCAACTGAGCAGCACAGGGGCAAGGACTTTATTTTGCTTGCCATGAAATACCCAGGTACTGGATAGTTCTCTTAGATTACCCATGCTAGGTGCTCCCCAAATAGTAATTAAATGAATGAATACATGAATTGTCATTCTATAAGTAAACTTAGCACTGGAAAAAGCCTCACCAAGTAAATACATATGGAAAGAAACCTCACCAAGTAAATACATATGGCATAAATTGCTTTTTTGCATGGCGGAATACATATAATAAATGCATGCCACATATGCTTGTTATGCTATTACTATTAGTTCTGTCTTTGTCATTATGATAGGTTTTGACAATATTGCCTCACTTTGTAAATAGCTGCCATTCATTGTGAACTACTACTATCCTTATTAGTCCATGCTTACAAGAGAAGTTTTTCATGTTGAGGTTTATAATCTAGATGCAGGTCATAGAGCAGTAATAAAAAATGGAAGGTGGTGACTTTATGTCTTTCGTACCTTATTGCTTTTCTGCTCCAAGCATTTTTGAAACAAGTTCAACTATAGTTTGAAGAAGATGAGATAATCGTGTGTTTTGTGGGATTTGCCAGAATATCATGCCCTGTAGGCTAGGTCCACTTATCCTTACATAACCTTCTCTAAGGTCTGAAATTCATCATTACAAACATCAAACATTATGATCTTTAATGAAAAGATCTCTGAGAAGTAAAATATTAGATTGGGGTCTATGAGGGACTCTGACTACTTTCTACTAAATAGATAAGGAGAAATTCCTTCGACAAAGAAAAAAATTAATTGGGGGTGGGAATGTGAGGAGGCAAAAGAAACAATTTCAATGTTAAGAAATTAAGGCTGTCAAGAGACATGGAAGACACTTAGGAAGAGTATCAGGTAGATCACAGCTGTCTGGGTAAACAAGTACCAAAGACGTAAAAAGGAAATGGACAAAGACACTGATGATCTAAGTAGGAGGGAGAAAATAAAGTTTCACTGATTTAGAAATGTTATGTGTGAAGCTGGCCATGATATATCTTGGAATATGTAAGAGTCATATAGAACAAGAACTTGGGTTTGACAGGTTTAATTTTTTTTTTTTTTAACAAAGTGTTTGGTCACCTGAGCCATATCAAGGCCATAAAACTCTAAGGGAATTTGACAACAGATAAGGAACTATTTTAATACAGAATTTTTAAAAATAAAAAGGCTACCCAGGATAAGACAGAGACATCAATCTATATTGATCATCAATATAGATGCATCCACATCAGAAGTTGGAAAAACTAAGTGTTGGAATTAAAGGAAAGTATTCAAAGCTCAGTTCTGCAAGTTACTGAGTATTTGAACTTAGTCATATCCTCAAACTCTGCTTAGCCTTAATTTCTACATCTATCCAACAGGAATAACTAATGTGTACTCATGTCCTGAAACAGCTTAAAAACCAAATATGGCAGTTTTCTCTGGAGGAACCAGTAAGCGAGGCAGGTTTAGGACACAAAGTATGTCACAGACTGCTTCAGAGAGTTCCTGCTTAGGGTGACTGTGCACTTTCTCCCTCAAACACCTTCAGGTGGAGGGCCCTTCACAATGAGGCAAAAAGCTCATTCACCCTGTGCATAGTCAAATAAAAGAATGGAGACGTTACCTGAGATGTTTCAACTCTCCTCATAAACTAGTTCAAAAACAAATTGGCTAATGGGAAATTTTTTAAATATATAAACCCAAATAACTCTGCTAGGCTTCTGCAGTCTTTGAGTATTATAAATATATTTTAGGCAGGGGCAAAAATGAACTGCAGTAATATCAGTTCTCTAGTGAAATTCCTCCCCATACTCTAATAAATCCTTTCCCAAGACAAACCATGATTATACAGTTGATTGTGATAGTTTCATTGGGGACCATTCGTTTTTGCTGTCTTACACAGCTAAAATTTTTTTGGATGGGTGATTATTCTGGTTTTATAAAAATGAGCAGAGAACAATAGATTCTGCCTATTGAGCTGATTCTGCAAGTTACAAACCTCTCTGCATACAAAAGAGGGGCCAGCAGCTGTTTCCCTGTCTTGCTGGCAACATTAATTCACACCTTCAAGTACAAAAATGCACATTTGAAAATTATGTTTAAACATAAGATAGGCATGTAAGCATTGGTCTGACCCCATGAGATGACTCAAGGCCTGTGTTTATGTTCAATTCTTTAGAAGATGTAATAGTCTAACATTACTGTTGGTATTAAAACTATATTTCATCTCTTATAGACTCTGTTTCCTTTAGACATAAAATAGCAACAAAATTATATCCAATCCCCAAATTAATCCCTCCATTTGATTCCAGGAATCATTATTTGCTTCCCAAAAGACAAATGAAACTTACGCTTTGAGGACAACCAGAAAGCTGTATCCAATGCACATAATCCCCACTAGAAAATAGGAGAGCGGCAACCTGAAATTCATCCATCCAATCGTTCGTTTATTGTCATAATAGCCATAAAAGAGCACGGAATATTGCGCCAAACCCTGAAATCCAACAACAAAGCCACTTAGCAGAAGCTGTGAAGAGCAACTCAAAGGAAAAGATCAGCTCTTAAGAGGAATAACAAAATGACATTAATTTTCAAACCTGGGTCACAGCTCTAACATGAGCCCTATTGTTTTATTCCATAAAGTGATTGTTTCAGCTGCCATGTTGAATGGCAGCTTTTTGGTTTATCTGAAATCCAGTGACTTCTAAATAGATAAAATTTTTCAGCAAATATGGGCTTGCTCAGCTGTGGAGCCATTACCGTGAAATGTCCTTTGATTTAAATATCAAAACATACTTCGTAGTATCATTAGATTTACGATTTTAAGAGCTTGCTTAATATTGGGGGATGGGGATCTGACAAATTCTTCCTCAAAGTGCTGTGGCAGATTTCCATTCCCAATCACCTGACTGTAATTAGATCAGTTCTTCTTAAACCACAGAGGTTGTCTCAGCTCTCGCTTTACAAAATAAAGGAGTGGTTGAGATGACATTGGAACTCATCTGCACAACTTTACCTTCACCAAGACCATTATAGCATTCCCCTATAACAAGCATGTTTACCTGTGCATTACATTGGCATATTCTGATGCTGCTTCCTTCATAATATGCACCTTTTTTCTTCTTCACATCCACTGTTTTTTACTCTCAGCATTGAAGAATTCTTGCTGTATCACTACAGCTATCCACTCCCAGCTCCTCACTTACTTCTTCTCTCTAACAATAACTATGTTTTGTGAAATGAGAAGACAGTAACTTGTCAATGTGGGGATTCCTCTGGAGATCAGGGGAGTCAACGCTGAATCTTAGAAAACCCAATTGGTTTCCTTTAACGTCATTTATGCCAACCCCAGGACTTTGACACCCGCAACTGAAGAAGGGAAGAGAACTAAGGGAGAGTGGAGGTGTGGAAAAGAAAGAAGAAATGTTGTGGATGCTAATTCCTAAAGGAAGAATTAAGAGAAAATTAGAAAACTGCCTTAAACAAAGATCATGCCTAACTCAAATCAGAAGCCAATGGAGATCTGAAAAAACTGCTTTCAAAATTTGGGGCAAATTTATTTTTAAATAATGTACTCTGTAAGAACTAGAACAAAATAAAATCTCCAAATAATCTCAGAGGAGCTTGTGTGCTTAACTTGGGACTGCATGAAATGAATCATTGGTAAATACCAAAGTTCTGAGCTTTATCTGCATTTTTCAGTTTAAGAAAAAAATAATCCAACTTGTGATGTTTAATTGTATGTGTCAACTTGAGTGGGCCATAGGGTGTCCAGATCAAACACTGGTTCTGGGTGTGTCTGGGAGGGTGTCCTAGATAAGATGGGTAGTTAAATAGGTGGACTCAGTAAAGTAGATTGCCCTCCCTGACATGGTGGGACATAATTTGATCCACTGAGGACAAAAAGAGGAAGAACAAAAGGAAGAAGGAGGGATTTGCTCCCTTTTCTCCTGCCTCTCTCACTGCTTGGGACATCTCATCTCATATCCTCCTGCCCTCAGAGTGGGATTCATACCATTGGCTCCCCTGGTTCTCAGCCCTTTGGATTCAGGCTGAATTACAGCACTGGCTTCTCTGGGTCTCCAGCTTGCACATGGCAGATTAGAAGATTTCTCAGACTCCATGATTGTGTGAGCCAATTCCTCAAAATGAGTCTCTTCTTATATATGTAATAAATCTATTATTTATATTAACTTATAAATTACATATATTGGCCAGGTGCAGTGGCTCATGCCTGTAATCCCAACACTTTGGGAGCCGAGGCGGGAGGATCACTTGAGATCAGGAGTTCAGGACCAGCCTGGCCAACATGGCAAAACTCTAGCTCTACCAAAAATACAAAAATTAGCCAGGTGTGGTGGTTCACTCCTGCAGTCCCAGCTACTTGGAAGGCTAAGGCAGGAGAATCCCAAGCTTGAACTCAGGAGATGGAGGTTGCAGTGAGCTGAGATCAAACCACTGCACTCCAGCCTGGGTGACAGAGTGAGACCCTGTATCAAAAAAAAAAAAAAAAATTACATATCTTATCAAGATTTATATAATAAATTTAAGTAATAATAAAATAGTGATAAATATAAATTTATTATATAAATCTAGTATTTATATAAATTTATTATATAAATACTAGATTTATATAATAAATTGTGTGTGTATGTGTGTGTGTATACATAATTTCTACTGGTTATATTTATCTGGAGAACCTTGACTAGGAGGCAACCCAAAATATCTGGCGGCATATTTATTATTAAACAATAATAAAGGTGGCATGTTGACCTCCACTGGTCTTACCCTTTGTTATATTTCTAATTAGTTCACAATCTTCTTGAACAAGGGAAGAATTATTATTTACCATAATTTTCCCCTCTCCTGCACACACAAAAAAGCAACTAGTAGAAACCTCAAGCAGAGGGAGCCGGTGAGCAAATCTCATGTCTAAGACAAGACATGGATTGACCAACTCCCCAAGACCTGGAAAGCTTCAACCCAGGAGAATGTGCTTGGCAGGATTTTCCAGCTCCCAGTTGCATGACATCTTCTTGTTTCACATTCTTCTAGTTAAGATCTCTGCTTCTTCTCATGTGTGTTAAATCCAATCTCCTTCTATCGTGTCTTAAACTTTCTTGTTGGTTCCTCTGTCCCAGGGTGACAATAGAGCGTGCTAAGTATAGACACTTGGTCTCTTGACTGGTTTAAAGGTTATATCCTGAACTGTTTATTTACCCCTGATGGGACAACACATCATTTTCCAAATGTCTCTGTTTTTCATTGCCCTATTTCTTTGCCACAGGCCTGACACTCAGTGATAATGGTTTCCATGATATATAACATTACTGTATACATTTTGTTAACATTTAGCACTTGCCAAATACTTTATTTTATCTCACAGAATCCTCAGGAGAACACTATGAAGGTGCTGCTACTAGGGTGATCATATCCCTCACTCTTAATGTTTCCTTCCATGTGAAGACTCATTAATGTAATGCTCCCAGCCACCCTCACTCTAGCCTAGGGAAAAAGAGACTGATTTGGCAGTAGAGCATGGATGGAAAAATGTGGACATTTCTTCCTTCTCTTGAGAGGGCACATGCTGTGCTCTGCCCCTGCAAGGAGAGGCCTGTCCTGGCAGAGAGGTCTGGCTGTGAAGTTTCCTTGTCCATAAAGACACTACATTCTTTAATGTCAGCTTTAACAACAATAAAGGCGGCATGTTGACCTCCACTGGTCTTACCCTTTGTTATATTTCTGATTAGTTCACAATCTTCTTGAACAAGAGAGGAATTATTATTTACCATAATTTTCCCCTCTCCTGCACACACAAAAATTCAATAGCTACTATCACAATATCTATTTTATAGATGAAGAAACTGAGCCTTAGAGAGGTTAAGTAATTTGTCCAAGTTCACATAACTAATGAGTGACAGTGTTTGAACTTGAACTGAGTCTAATTTAAATTCTATATGCTTAACCACTGTACTATACAGCTTCTCCCATGCTTTCTTTATCTAGCAAGAGTTATATCATGCTAGTGCCATACCTTCTCGGTGAAAGAAAAAAACAAGAAACTCTATGAACCCAGCACAGACTTTGGTCTATACCTCTAGACTGGTCCCTGGTGGTGCCAGAGCCTCTTGAAAAGAACCCCAGACATCCCTTTTGAGAATATTTCAGAGGGGGTCACCTCCACCTGGTATCTTTCATCTAATTCATAATGATAATATTGGGATTAAAAGACACACCAAAAATAACATAAAAGGAGAAAGTAGGTATATAACAAGCATCTGGTGAGCTTGTTAGGTTAGCACAATAGCTTCTGGGGGCAGCCAGCTCATCTGGCACATGTACCATTCAACATATGTTCAATGGCTGGCATTTCATAAATACTAGATCACAGCCAAAGCCCAAGAATAGCTCTGATTTGGTTTTGTTTTATTTTTCTGGCTGGGGGCAGGCAGAGTCATGATTAGTTCACAAAGTTTCCTGCAGTTTGCCTATTTGACATATATGCAAACAAGTCTGTAAATGAATTAATATTATTAAACAGAACAGTTTTTATATTTTAATTAATTAATTTTTAAAATTATTATTATACTTTAAGTTCTGGGATACACGTGCAGAAGGTGCAGGTTTGATACACAGGTGGTACACATGTCCATGGTGGTTTCCTGTGCCCATCAACCTGTCATCTACATTAGGTATTTCTCCTAATGCTATCCCTCCCTTAGTCCCCGACCCCCTGACAGGGATAGTATTCCATGGTATATATGTGCCACATTTTCTTTATCCAGTCTGTCATTGATGGATATTTGGGTTGGTTCCAAGTCTTCGCTATTGTGAATAGAAGAGCACAGTTTTTAAAGGCTTTATCCAATCTATCTTTGTACCATATTGAGGAGTGGCTTTAAATACAACTTGAGAGGCTTCAAAGGAGAACGCACCTCATCTTCTACCCAGTGGCATGCCACCCTCCACTCATCTTTCCCTGCCCCTTAAAACTATAGCAGCAGATATCTGGAAGTGACTAAAATAGCAATGACTCCTAGCCCAGCCAAGGTTCTATTCATTTTCCATGTCAGCTCATGCTGCTTTCCCTGTGAGAGCACTCTCCCACCCCAAAATCTGTGACAGAGAAACCAGAGTCAGAGCCAAGTTTCCAATGAGCACAGAAAATTTCTGTCCAACTCTGGGGTTCCATGCTGGTGTATTGTCCATTAAGACTCTAATTTCTGTTTGAATGCTGCAGCTGGTCTAATCTATAATCACCAACACATTTCCACAAGAAAGAATGTTTTTATTATGATTACCAGGACTCGATTTATGCATTTACTTTTCTAACTAACATTTATTGAGAACTTACTATTTGCCTAATATACATAGATGGATCAGGAGACAGGATTATAGAGGTCCCCAAAATGTTCTCCTTTATAAAAGTATTTGTTGCCTGAAATTATATTAGAACTGCACCCCTTTGGTGTTTCACATAATTATAAATAAATG